ATATGGCCTTTAAGGCCAGGGGTCCCTCCTGGAGCCAAATTATTGGCATTGAGATGCGAGACCAAGGGTACTGCAGTGCCATCCGCCCCAAAGGTTGGGGGGAAGGCAGGAATGAATGTCTATATGCATCCAGGTTCGGTTCACAAAAGCCTGGCCCTGCGAAAAAATGAACCACTCACCTTGAGCATGGTCCTGGCGCAAGGATATGCACAAAACAGGGTGATGCACAGCAGGGTAGAGACCTCTACATTCTCTCATGCCTCGGCCTACAAGGTAGGCCCACTCCTAGGTGTCTAACAGCAACAAGGTCATAGACACCTTGGAGGGACCCACAGACCATCCTATTTTAATAAATAAAAAAGGGGGAGATGTGGGAAGCCGCCTATGATGGCGCCCATTTCCTGCTTCCGGGTTCTTCCCGGCCTGAACAAGCCCGCCAAATTGTCATGTCTGCCCAGTTACCCGTGACGCTAGCCTATCAGCTTGTTAGACGCGCTTCTCTGTGATTGGATACTGCTTCCCTTTATAAGAGGTTGTTCCTGCCCCCAACGGGCGGAAGAGGAACCAACACTGAGGGTGGCGGACCTTGTTAGGTCCGGTTCGCTGTACGCAATAAAGTTTGAGAGCTGATCCTGCTCGAGTTTGGCCTCCTTGATAGCAAGAGTTAACATTAAAAACAACAAGCTGTGTTAAATACATGTACCTACTCACAAAGATGAATGTAAACTTCATGTACTAATAAAATAAAAATAAGGATTAATAGTATCCAGATCTATTTATCATTAAAAATTATTTAGACTTGTTTTTACTTCTCTTTATTGATAGTAGCTTCACTTGCTCAAGGCTTCTCAGACTTTCTGGAAACAATCTGATAGGAAATGACATTAAAGAACTATTTTACAAGCTTTCCCTAATCCTTCCAACTAGCAGTTGCAAGTACACGGTCCTTCCTTAAATTTAGTATTTAGATATGTATTACTTTCAACATTTTATTATTTTATTAAAAGAATTTCCCTATTAGGCAATAATAATCTGTTTGGTTCTTGAATTTTTTTAAATTAATCTTTGAGACTGGTTTCACTATGCAGTTCAGGCTGGCCTTGAATTCACTTTGCAGCCCAGGCTGGCTTTGAATTTACAGCAATCCTCCTGTCTCAGACTTTTGAGTACTAGGTTTACAGGCATGTGCCACCATGCCAGGGGTAGGTGGGGTGGGGTGGTGGTTAGAGTTAGTTCTGGATTCTTTTTTTTGAAATAATTTGTTGCTTTGAAGCACTCTTATGCCTACAAAAAACAGGTGTTCATTATCATATGTTGAAGAATGAACAGAAAGATATATATCAATGTAAAGAAAAAAATTCTGGTGAACTAATTTGACTTACAAAACTCGCTATTAAGGAAAAGCATTAGAAATGTCCTCAGTATAATCATAAGTAGAAGCAACAGTATTATAATAGCTTTGAACACAAGCACTTGAGCTACACAGACCACGTATGTTGCTTAATTTCTCTGAGCTCAAGCATCTGCATCTATAAAACCTGATTATTATACAGATTTATTAAGAAAGTATGTACCAAACTTGGAGCACAAAGTCTGACATTAAATAAACAATGACAATAAAGAAATTCATTAAAATCTATTTAGTGTTGAGTAAAAGACTGAAGACATACATGTTCCACAGCATTAAGAATAACAAAGTCTCTAAGGTAGTGCCATACACCTGAGGCAGAAGGACCACAAGTTCAAAACCAATCTGGGCAAATTTATAAATATCAAAATAAAATTTGAAAAAGACTGGGGGCTGGGCATCATGGCACATGCCTGTGATCCAGGCATCTGAGAGGCTGAGGTAAGAGGATCATCAGGAGTTCAAGGCCAGCCTGGGCTATGTAGTGAGTTCAAATTTGGCTTGAATTACAGACTGAGACCCTGTCTCAAACCAAACTAAATAAACAAACAAAAGGCTGGCGATATGCCTCAGTGATATAGTGCTTGCCTAATATGTGTGAGGATTAGGGTTACAAAGTACTGCAAAAAAAAAAAGAGAGAGAGAAATTAAAAACAGGGTGGCCAGTTAGAAGTATTACAGGCAGTCAGAAAGAGGTAGGCCCATGAGGAAGCCAGCACAGAGGACCAGATGCCTGGTGACCTTGGAGAAGACATATCTCTGGCTGTGGGCCAAATCTCAAGACAGAAGGCAACACAAATGCAACCACACCCTAGATATGAACATTAGGGATTAGGTATGGATCACCCTGAGGAGCCATCCCAACCGCCTACGGGAAAAGTCACTGATCCATAAAGAATGCTCGCTTACTACATGGCTCTAATTTGTTCAATTTTACCTGAATAATTAAACTTACTGGTTGACCAAAGTTCTGTCCCACCTCATACTCGGCTGCCTCTTGAGTTCCTATTTTTCCCTGCTGTAGACCCACCTTACCTCATGGTTTTACTCTTTAAAAGCCCCTAGAAAACACAGAGTTCCTGGCAACCTACTCAGGACCCCTTCTGTCTCTCTTTCAGACAGAAGCTTTCCTTCTCTCAGTAAATGTTTCCTTCTCTTAACCTCCATTGTCCCTAAAATTCATTCTTCAATTTCAGAGAACATAAACTTGTATCAGACATACAGTAGGTTGGGAATTCCATTCCCCCATATCAATATGAAACAATTATAATAAAAGAGCAGTCAAAAGAGAAAAAAAGAATCTGGTGTGTAGCTCAATGGTAGAACATTGGCTTAGCATGCTGAAGAGCCTGGGTTTGAGCCAAAGCACTATACAAAATAAACGATATACAAAACAGAAAAAAAAATTAACAACTTATTTTAATTTTACTGAATGATAGAGAATTATCTTATTTACATACCATCTTTATTTTGTCTCATATTTTCAAAAGTATTTTTAATGATTTTTTTCATTAAAATAAGATTTTCATTCACTAATTTGCCTGTTGGCTCACACTGAAAAGAAAAAACTTCCTCATAGAATTGGATTTAACCAGGTAGCAACTTGCTTCCCAAATATCTGAGACAGGACAGCATGGCTGATCATTATTTTCCTTATTCGAAAAATTAGTTCAACAAAAAAATGCTTATTCTGGCAGTGTATGTTCTGAAAAGTTTTCTAAACAATCACTGTATAACATTTTATCATGTATCTGTTTGATCTGCCAAACAACCATATAATGACAAGTATTTTTGTTCACCCCTATTAAGTCATATAAATGAGAGAAGTAATTTATTCATGCCCATTAGTTATACAAAAGCAAAGTACAGATTTTTAGAAGTAATTCCTCAGAGCCTGGAAGATATCTTATTGCAGTATCTCTAAAAACTTGAAATACAAATAAAGGAATGTTCTGTAATGGATACAGCAGCAAAAAGATCTTGAAACCAAAAGAAGATAGACCATATGGTTTAAAAATGAAATTATCTAAGCATCTCTAGACAAAGTTGATACACAATATACAAGGTAGATACACAATATCTAAGCATCTCTAGACAAGACTGTGGATGCATTTCTTTCCTTCCTTTGATCTCACTGCTCTAGTTCACAAAAAAATATTACTTTAAAAAAATTTACTTCCCATATTTTCTTCTCTTTAAATCCCTGAAGAAAATAAAATTCTCATCAAAACTGAAGCTACTCTACAGAGACACGAAAAGTTTGTGTAAAAGAAAAAGCTTTAGGTCCAGGTGTGGAAGTGCACAACTGCAATCCCAGCACAGGAGGATTGCTGTGTATTAAGGTCAGCCTGGGCTACAAAGTGAGTGTGAGGCCAGCTTAACGAAACTGCCTCAAAAAGACAAAAAACAAACACAATCAACAATGGCAAAAAACTCCCAAAACAAAGCAAAATTTTAGAAACTTCCTGTTTGAGTCTTGCCATGGTCCCAAGAGAAGAAATATAAATTCTCTGACTTCAAAACTATCATATGTGAGTAGAAAAACTAATTAAAGCTTTACCTTCTCCTGAATGGCAATTCTGGTCTGCTATTAAGAAAATATTATTCATCATTAAAGTCTAGACTGCTCTAAATTATACATTGCTTTCAGAGTTCAAAGAAACGATTCAGTGCTATTTTATTCTTTTTAAATAGCAAAATTTTATTTTAAGGAGTTCATAATAATTCTCTTTAAAGTCACACTTCATCACATTATAAAAATCTGAGCTTTTTGTGGGATATTTTATTCAGAACACCTGTTATTCTCCTTATTTTTCCAACTTCAAACTGCAGCAATAAAGCTAAAGAATCAACCTTAAGCAAATTCTTACACTTCAAGGCCGTGAGTTTCCCACTTACATCACCTGTATTTTCAGGTTCACACTTCTCTACTGTTGTCAAATCTGTGGCAATGATGTGAAAAACACACAGAAATAAAATCAGAATAATATTATTTTATAAGCAGTGGAGAAAAGAATATCTAATTGCAATTTGTTTACTGGTAATCTAGGGTCCTTATATTTACTTTCTGGTTACACAGAAATTTATATTTACTTTCTGGTTTCACAAAAAATTTATATTTACTTTCTGGTTTCACAAAAAAATAACAATAAAAAAGCATGGCCAGTACTCTATATATGAGACCACATTCATGGACTCACCACTGCAGATAAAAAATATTCAGGGAAAAAAACTGTACTGAAACATGTACAGACTTTATCTTGTCAAAATTCCCTAAATAATACAGTACAACAACGATTTACGTAACATTTAATTATATTAAGTAATCTAGAGATGACAAAGTAAATAAGAGGATGAGTATAGGTTATATGTAAGTTATATACAAACAATACATCATTTTATGTAAGAATCTTAAGCATTCATGGATTTTGATTTCCTAAGGTGCTAGACTCAGTTCTCCACAGATACCAAGCGATGACTGCACTTTCTTACCCATTCATAAGAAAAAAGAGTATCTATTTTAGAAAGCTTTTGATACTATTTTCTTCTTAGTATGCAAAGGCTCATAATACACTGAAAGAAATTTACAAACCTCTGAATGTTCATCTCTCTCATCGATAAGTCTTTTTAAATGCAATGCCATATTTTTCAAGAGGGGTTCTACATCCTCCTGAGGCATATCTGTCACTTCCATCCATTGCAGATCAAATACATTTTCTTGATTATGGGTTACCTTTGGAAAGGCAAGTAAAATAAAACAGGGATGACACTTAAATACTGACTTATAAAACATAATGAGAAGTTATCAAAATATCTACAGAAAAACATTAAAAGATAATGATGAAACAGAAGTAACTTGACTTTTCTTTAGGTAAGGCTTTAAATGTATTAGAACAACTCAAAACTAAAGCTTTAGTCTTGAAGTACAGATGTTACTGCATTTTACTTGAACAGCTAAATCTTTGTAGATTCTGAAGATGACGTGATCACAGTACCTTAGGAAAAATTATTCTCAAGATAAGGATTTTTAAAAAGGGAAGAGTTACACAAACAAAATACTTACTTGCTGCTTTTCATTTCTTGCTATGATCCTAGTATTTTGCTTTAACTTTTACCACAAACAGTACAAGTAACACTTTCAGGGCTGGTACAAGTTCAGCACTTTATAATACATTTATTCAAAATGAAATAAAAAGCACAAAGCTATTATAAAAACGCAGACACACATACTTTTTTTAAAGTCTCAGTATGCTTACTATTGAACACATTGTTACTGAAGAGGTATTTGGCTTCTATGAATTTTTTAAATTACTATCTCAGTGTGATACATAATGATTAGTTTCATTACATATTAATTCTTTTCATTCCTGTCCCTTACTCTTCTCCCTCCATTTCTTGGCCCCTTTCCATCTGCAAAAAGTGAATCTCCCTGCTTCTTTTATCTATCTTTTGTTTCGTTCTTCCTTCTTACTCTTCTTTTTGTTTTTAGTCTTTTTGGGATGCAGTCATGCTATGTAGTTCATGCTGGGCTTCAACTCATTTTGTAGCCCAAGCTGGCCTCAAACTCGCAGCAATCCTCCTTGCTTCAGCCTCCTGAGTGCTGCGATTACAAATATGTGTCACCACACCTGGTTATTTTGTCACTTACTTACATTTTGGCTTCTCATATAAGAGAAAACATACAGTATTTAACCTCCTGTGACTGATGTACTTCATTTAATATTATGGTCTCAAGGTACAACCATTTCCCTCCATATGACTCAGTTTTATTCTTCTTTATAGCAGAGTGGTACTCTTTTGTGCATAAATACCCATTTTCTTTATCTATTCACTTGTTGATAGACATGTATGCTGCTTGCAAGACATAACTATGATGAACTGCTCTGCTATAGTCATGGATATGTGCCCATTACTGTAAAATGTATCTTTTACGTCTCTCAGGAAGATACCTAGGTAGGAGAATACCTGAGTTATGGCTTCTATGAATTTTAACTAAGAGACTAGGTAATATATAAAATACAAAAACATATAAATTAAAAATATTTAAAATACTGCCAGTCTTCATTATTTAAAAATTTTGAATCCCCCTTCTCTTTTTCCTTCCTGATCAACATGTAGTTTAACATCCTATAATGTAATTTAAAGTTTTTACAAGATTAAAAACCAAAGAGTAGACAGATGCAGAATCAGCACCTTTAAATCTCTGGGGTTTGTTTTTTCTTTTTTGGTACCAGGGATGGAACTCATGATCTCACACTTGCCAGTCAGGTGGCTGTGCCACTAAACTAATCCATAGCTCTTAACTCTTCGACATTGATATTATGCCTTAATGTTTCATATGTGTGTTACAAATTATCAACAAATTTACTATTCAAGTAATAGATATAATGTTTTGTCATTTAATTAAGAGAATCACATGAACTACATAATACTAAGCTTGTTATTCTATGCCTCTATAGTTTTAAGTAATAAGCAGTGTTCAAATTTATGATGCTTTTATTTATTATATGATTCATTCTGTGCTGTCAAAACAAGACATAGTTCATTCTTCAAACATTTTTCCCCTATAACTTTATAGATAAAGGTCACAGTACATTTGTAATTAGCAATGTGACATCTATAAGATGATCCCCTTAAGCAGCTATCTCCAAAACTAAGACAATTTGTATAAAAATAGGATGTGTTTATATCTGATCTTCATTTGTTCTGTTTATCCTATGACTCTATTCTTGGAAATATATAAGTATACACATCACAATCTTCATAAAAAGTACATGAAAATTTACATAGGTTATTACCTCTTGAATATGCGCGGCAACTGCTGCTTTTGTATCAAAATCTAATCCTTGAATTCTTTCTATAAATTCTTCTTTTTTCTGACACTATAATTAAGAATAAAATAATCACTCATATTTCACCTCAAACTGTTGCATATAAAACTCATGAGGCTTGGCTATGTCTTAAATGGTACAGTAAGGTTTTTGTTTTACATTTAAATCGCTTCTCTAATGTACTTACCTAATACAGATAATGATTTAGAAACATTTATTTTAAAATACAAGGCACTACAAGTTCATGCTATTTTTATGCTGAGAAGTTCTAAAGTGGGAAACTATTACACAACCCATCTGAGGTCAGTACAATATTATTATGCTAGCTTTACAAGCAGGGAAGTAAAGAATCAAGAACTTGTTTCAGGGTGGGTACATAACTTGCCAAAAAACACAGTGAGTCAGTGGCAGAATTCGGAATACAGCCAAAATGCTCAGTCAGTCCCTGGCTATCACCAAACAACACAACCTTTCTTCTTGGGAAAAAAAAACTTAAATGATATTTCAGTAATACAGTTCATTCTCACATCTTCATCCTATCAGTCTTAATAAAAGAAACTCACTTTGTGGCCAGTTCAACATTTATAAGGTGACACAATAAATATTTGGTTTGTTTCTAACATGACATAAAATTACTGGTGCAAAATTTAAGGAAATTATATATACATGAAACTGAAAGGAATAAAGGCAGCAATTCATTATTATGAAAATTTAAAGAGCTTTATATAAACTAAAAATATTAAAATGTAAACCTAGTCTTTTCCTACAAGTATTAAGTAACAATTTAAAATATATCTTAATCTCTGCCATGGTCTACATCTTTTATACTGCAGTCCAACTTGTTAGCATAACTGTATTCTTGCAGTTACCAAATGAGAAGTGCATACAAAATAGACAGGACTGCCTTGTCCAGCTACACATCTCCTAGGCCAATTACTGAACTACCAATGAAGACGATACACAACACACACACAACCCAGCTCTCTGATCATCAAGAAATTTATAAGTCTTTGATTTATAGTTTTAAGTTTATCAAACTTTAATATTTTATTTGTTGCCATATAATTTAAACATATACCCATTCAGTGCACAAAAATTATTAGGATATAAAAGTGTTTAATACAGGGGCTGGGGATTTAGCTCAGCAGCATAAGCACCTGCCTTGCAAGCAGGCGGTCGTGAGTTCGATCCCCGGTACCAATAAAAATGAAAAAGACAAAAAAAAAAAAAAAAGTGTTTAAAACTAAACAACCAGGAATATACAATTCTTCATTATGACTTGGAAGTCTGATGGGGGGGGACTGTAAAAATTAGTGAGTTTAAAAATATGAATTTTTTGCCTATTAAATATTTCACAGTCCTGTGAGAAAAATTAATAATTACTTTCCAATTGTACATTCATAGCATATATAAAATAACTAATTTTTCAGGTACAGTAACCTCAACTTATTAATTCAGCATTTCTGTACATTATATAGTTTCTGAGCCTATCAGAATATAAAATGGCAGGATTATTATAAAAGGTAATGATGATGACTCACCAGAGCCTCTCAACTGTCTTCTTAAGGTTTTGTGTATTTAATTTAAACAAAACAGAAACACTTCCTTTTCTAAGTGCCAGAGCCACTGTTTCTTTATTTGTATCTTTAGGATCTTCTTCTTTAGCACATTCTAAACATACATCAATTAAGAATTCTTTTACCCTTACAGAATTTCTACAAAATTTCCCCTTAAACACTGAAGTTTTAACAATTCTGAAGATATTTCATAAATAGATTAGACTTTTTTTTAAAAATACAGAATAAATTTCATAGGATCCTGCAGGATAGGAAAGAAAATATCAAAATAGAAAAAATAAAAGAAGAATCAAACTTTTAATCAATTAGTCTGTTTCAGAGCTATCCAACATGTGGCTAATGAGTACTTGAAATGTAGCTAGTACAGATGAAAAAAATGAAAATGTAGTGGCTATTATAGCTCTAGAACATAAGAAAAATCTAGTATTAAAAACATATACTTTTAAAAATCAGATTTTATTTAATACACATGATGATCACATTCATTAGAGAATTTGTACCTGTACATGGTATAACTTGTTTTACCTGCCCATTTTTATTATAGTTATAAAGATGGAAGACTACCAGCAAAATGTTTCTTTTTTCCTTAAAATTAAGCTCTACATTTAAAGTTCTCAAACTGCCAAACATTAAATTAATTTTAATTGTGTTACAGTAATTGATTTCTAAGTCAGAAAACTGCCACATTCTTAGTAATCTTAGTAAGAATATGATAGCGGGAGCTGAGATAAGGAAAATAAAACTTATTTAGGTGCGGTGAAAAGCAGTATTAAGTTTAAAATTGTATATCTGCCACCAAAAAGCTTAAATTCTTTTTCTTTCTTTCTTTTTTTGAGATAGAGTCTTGCTCTGTAATTCAGGCTGGTCTTGAACTATGTAGCCCAGGTTGGCCTCAAACTAACAGCAATCCTCCTGCCTCAGCCTCCCAAGTATGCCACCACACTTGGCTCAATTCTTAATATTATTCTGCATATTTTTCCTTAGTATTATCCTCTTAAAGAACACAAACATATTTGGAAAAATTAAACTAGAGGGATAAGCATGCCAAAAAACTATTGAACAAGAAAATAATAAAACAAGAAATAAAATCTTTTAAGAACACTAATAAAATTATAATTTTAAAAGTATAGTGTTACTAAAGTTGCAAAGAAGTAAAAATTAAAATTCTCTCTTCAAAGGACTGTTAAAAGAAACCAGAAAACAAATGTTGGTGATAATGTAAAAGAATTAGCTCCCTGCTTCTTTTTTTGGAACTGGGAATCAAATTCAGGACCTTGTGTTTGCCAGGCAGGCGCTTTGCCATTGAACTAAAACCCTGGCCCACTCCTTAGCTCTTGCTGGTGGGAGTACAAAATAATAGTCACTATGGAAAACAATATGGCAATTCCTTTAAAAAAAGGTAAAAGCTAGAACTGCTACATCATCTAGCAATCGCACTTCTAAGCAGAGATCCAAAAGAATAAAAGCAGGAAGCTGAACACTCACGTTCAGAGCAGCAGGTATTTACAACAGTCAGAAAGTAAAGGCAGCAGAAGAGTCCATCAAAGACGGGGAGAGGAACAGAAAGTGAGGTACATGATGTGCAGAATATATGCAAGGTAATTGGACAGAGATTCAGATATATGCTACGATACACATGAGCCTACTTAACAAGGCAATAACACAGAACAAATATGTATGTTAATTAAATGAGGCACGCAGGGTAGCCAAAATAATGTCGAAAAAGTAAAATGGTGGTTGCCAAGTGCAGCAAAGGAGACGTTACATTACTGTTCAACACACACACAATTTGTTTTGGAAAATTTGTTTGTACAATAATGTGAAAGCATAACGTGAGGAACAGTGGACCACATACTTAAAAGTGATTAAAATGGTGAATATCACAACATGCATATTTTATCACACTCAAGTAAGAAAAAATAATAAAAAGATTAGAAAAACAGTATTTTTAAAATTTGCTATTTCTGGGGCAGGGGTAGAGCTCAGTGGTACAGCACTTGCCTGGCGAGCACAAGGTCCTGAGTTCAATTCCTCACACAAAAAAATTTTATTTTGCTACTTCTGTACATTAAAAGAAAAAGAAAGGCCTCTATCAGAAACTATTTTATTTCTCAAAAAAGTAGTACAATTTTTCAAGTTCTAAAATGCTAATTTAAGATACTTTACATGTATCTGTGTGCACTTTATATACACACTTTATAACTGATGGGTAAACAACAAACTGTGCAGTAGCTCTCAAACATGGCAAATTCAAATTTGGATTTCAGGAATCATATGTAAAATGAAGGATCAGCATAAAGAAGAATGAAATCATATTGTCTTCAGGAAAATGGATGGAACTTGAAGCCATCATAAGTGAAGTAAGTTAGACTCAGAAAGTTAAATAGTGTGTGTTTTCTCTTAAGAGAGACCTAAAATAAATGAAGGAGGAAATACAGGTGGAAAAAAGAAAAAAAATAAAGAGGAAATCAAGAGGTAGACTTTTGAAGATAGAGAAGTGAGTGTGGGGTATAATGGAATTTAAAATGATCAAAATAGGTTAAATGTGTATACCACCTTTCCCAAACCCCAGCATTTTATAATACTAATATGCCTATACCAAAAAAAAGGAAAAAAAAAAAGAAAAAGATGAGCGATTGAGGCAGGAGGGTCATTGCAAATCTGAGATCAGTCTTGGGCTAAAAAGTGAGTTCAAGGCCAGACTGAACTGTCAAAAAGATTAAAAGAAAAAGATAAGGAAGGACTTGTCTGATTTTATGGTTTAGGCCTAAAAGTGGCCCCAAAGCCTCATGTTTGGCAGGTGACTGAATAATGGGGCAGTTCAGCTGCTTTACTGCTGGGGAGGGGCCTGATTGGAGGTGCGGGGTGTGGGCTCAGGAGATAGGGCCCCCCCCCTTTGCCTCCTACTCCTGGAGGCTGTAATGTGCTCAACTCTTCCTCCAGCATGACCCTCTGCCACGCTGTCCTGTTTTGGAGCCAAAAGACAATGGATCATAAAGGATGCAAACTACACTCCTTTACTTTGCAGGCACTGGGTATTTTGTTTAGGTGATAAGTGACAAAGATAAGTGGTTTAGCCTGGTCCTAGCCTTAGTATTCTTCATATTCAGTTATCTCCGTGGCATTTATTTAGATGGAATCAAAGATACAAAGTAGTAACTATTTATTTTGTGGTATACGAGCACTGAACTATTTCTGAATGCTCCTGCTTCAAGAATTTTGTAATTTTTCTCCAAAACAAATTCTTTTCCAATTTCTATGTCTACTGTTTTAAAACTAATTTTTAAAAATGAAACATGCTTTGAAACCTGTAACCAACTAAATTTCTGGATTCTATCATATATTAGCAACCTTTATTTCCTATTTCTAACTACATATCACAAGTTTAACAGACAAAATTAACTCAGATGGAGACAGCATGTGCTGCTACTTAGCATCATTATACTATATACTTAGCATCATACTTAACATTAGAATTTTAATCTGTTGAACTACTAGCTGAACAAATTTTTCTGTGACAGTACATTCTAAGTGTTCCAACAATACTTTTTGAAGACTGGTTTCCTTAATAGTTTCTTATCCAGACATACATTTTGGTTCTTTACTCAAAGTATTAATGAAGATTTATAGTTATTCATATAGTCACAGTTGAAGACTGAATTATTTTTTTCTTTGATACTGGGGACTGAACCAGGCTTTCACACTGCGCTACATGTCCAGACCTTTTTAAAATGTTCAGACATGGTTACATTAAGCCCCTAAATTGTGCGAGCGGGGCTTAAATTTACAACCCTCCTGCCTCAACATCCTAGAGCGCTGCAATTACCTGCCACTACACTTACTCTGAAAGGAGATTTTTGCCTTCTATATATTTGACATTACCAGCACCAGTGGCTCCAAAATGCCTACAAGATAAAATCTAAAAGTAGCATCTCCTGTCAAATCAGCGATCCTATCCCTTGCCTTGTTCCTTCATTTCAGTCACACATGACGGCTCTGCAACAACTGGTTTTCTCAACATCTTTGCTTTTATTTTTTTTCACCACAGCCTGAAAAAACATTAAACAGGCTAACATGAAAATATGAAGAAATACTTTTAATTTACCTGAACTGCACAACCCAGTAACAGTAAAAGCAGTTTTTTAACTTCTTCTGTGCCTTGTTCTGAAACAAAAACAATTACTTAGTATAATATTTAGCTCTATTTCAACTCTGTTATATTCTGCAGATAATATTCACAATAAGTTGACCAAACGGTTAATTCTATAAACGTAGATAGGAAATGTAAATAGCAGATCTTTGTGTTTGTAATGTGGTAATAAAAGCCAAAATGGGCGACAAGTGTACTTTTGAAGGGCTGTCGTATAAACAAATGTTACAAGGTTTCATGAAGTAAATATGCTACTTATGAATATATTCCTTTTCCATAAATCATGTTACATTAGCCTACCAAGTTAAGATCCTACCAAATTACACTGATACAATATAATATACCACAAAGTCAGTCAAAATGGCTCCTAAACAGGTCTGGCTTCTCAGTGTCTTTCTTTTTTGGTATGGGAATTCGAACTCAGGACCTCACTCTTGCCAAGCAAGCACTGCGCTTCTGGGCTATATCATCAGCCAAGTGTTTTCTTTCTAGAATACAAATATTATTGCTCATCTATCTATAAAATTTAAATGGAGTTCTATGGTATAGGCACATAAGGATTAAGACCTTAAGTGTCTGTTTCAGTGAGACTCCTAATAAATGGCATGTAACAAACTGGATAAAAAGTTAACAGCCTGTTACACAACTGGAGAAATCATCTCCTATCCAAAAATATTCAAGTAAGATTTTCTTAAATATTTAGTAGATATAGATATATACATCTGTATCTTTCTCTCTTTCTCTATGTCTTCATCCCACCTGTGAATCACTTAAATAATCAGTATCTGAGGCCACTGATGGCGAACCTTTTAGAGCTTTCAATGATACAAACAGCCTGCTGTGGCACAGGTGCCATAAGTCTGCCATCACTGTCTAGGCATGGTTCTCACATCTTTGTGCAGTCATTCCTAAACCAATACTTATGATCCTAAACCTACCACAAACATATAGCAATGATTGTATTTTTAAATAAAAATAAATGACTCCATATTTTACATGCTTTAACATTTTGTATGTATCTCTATTTCATACTAATTATTGCATGATTTCCCAGTAATGTGTGTATCTCTTACTAACTCAAAAGATCCTCTAGAATACATACCATTTCTTAAAATATCTAGTCCCTAAAATTTAGGAGTTAATTATTAAATGCATATGGAACTGAAAATTCTTTTCTGCCTAGAATCTTTTTTTCTTTCCCTCCTTTTTTTCTCTTTATTTTTCCACCATCCTAGTGCTGGGATTGAATCTAGGACCTTGGCCATGCTAGACAAGGGCTCTACCACTGAGCTAAGGTGCTAAGCCTCCCTTTTTAAATATATATAATCCAACACCCAGAATCTAAAGTATCTCCAGAAACTAAATTACTCATTTAGCTAGTTGAATTCACTACTAATCCACCTAATTAGTTTTAAAGTAGTGACCTGGTTTTTGTTGTTGTTGCTGCTGCTGCTGTTGTTGATTTTGACTACAGGAAAGGGTAGGGGTCAGAGAAGACACAGTATGCTCAACTTGGACACCACGGCACTAGCAGGGATTACATCCTCTGTTCAAAATTAGAACTCTGTGGGCTAGAAGTGTAGCTCCGTGTGTTTAGCATGTGAGAGTGTAATTGTGTATTTAACGTAAGAGGCTGTGAGGTTTAACCACCAGTTCCCAAAACAAACAATAACCTGTTAACGTGTCATATTTAAAATCTGGCAAAGGGTAAGACTTTTAAGTAAAATAATTTAAAAGCTCTAGGAAACTGCTTCTCATTTTTTTATTCAGAAGTAGTTTAAAACGTCAGCAAAACCTTAGCATCAAACTTTGGAAATGGTAGGTATACAGATAGAACGATTTTCAAAATAATTTCTTAGGCTATAGTCCTATAAGCTTGTAACCTGATCATCTTTTATACTTGTGAGACATCCTAATAATCACCAAAAGCTACCTGTTTGGTACAGAAGGAAAAACAGTGGACTTCATACTAAAGTTGTACCTGGTCCTTCCCACAACTTAGATTCTGAGCTGGTATTTTTTGCTACCAACTGCAGCATCACCCAACTTCTCTAAAGGAGTTGTTAAAAAGTTAGTGTGTAAACACAGTATTCTGCAAAGGTAGAACATTATTATCACATTGTATTTAATACTTACCAGAAAAAGGATTTTTGCCAATGATTAAGACATTTGGCAATGACATCATAATCAACTGCTGCAAAGTCTCCTGTAAAATGATATCAAATAGTTATTGTATGGCTAATGTGGACTAGGCAACTATTCATCAAGTTACAACATGACTGTACACTATTTTCTAGGTACAATATACTGTAATTTTTTCAAATAAAACAACTGTGAATAAAGACACAGTCTTAAATCTTTGTAACTTTAAATTAATGAATTAAATAACTAAAATTATACCACAGTCTAATGTCAACAAAGTGAAAATATCTGAGTTGAATTAGCCTAATATTTATTATTCAGAAATCTCAAGTTTTAAGTTTAGAAAACTAAACTATATTCCTCAATAAAAGATCAAGCATTTATACTCTTGTGACAACTACTTCTGATTATTAACTTCATTAGATTATAAAGAGCGGATTATGAAAGTGTGAGCTTGGAGACTGTGTACGCTCCCAGCCCTTTTGTTTTTGGGGCTCTTCCCCTGCTCCCTGCTTCCTGGACATCATTAACTGAGCAGCTTTCCTCTGCCGTGCCATTCCACCCTGATGCTTCTGCCTGGAAACCTACCAACCACAAACTTAAAGTGAGCAAAATAAGCTCCGCTTCCTTCAAGTTTCAGGCGTCAAGTATTTTGTCCTTGCAACTGGAAAGCTGACTAATATATTTTTCTGGGTTTTGTTTCGTTTTGCTTTTTTAATAATTTCTTTCTGAAAGAATTTGAAATGTCAGCCAATTTCAAAATCAACAAAGATAATTACTGTTTTGTCTACTGATCATTTCACAAAAGTAAGTTCTTCCTTGGTAAATCATTAATTTTGTCCTGTTTCTGTACTAGATGGTTAACTTTGATTTCTATCAAACTTTTAATGACAAAGAATGTACACACATCCTGATGACACAGGATGATTCACAAAGAACTGAATGTTTTCAAGTCATTCATTTTAGGTGCTACATAATGCAGCATCCCCCTTCTGTGTATACAACCTTTTTCTTGAAGAACTGAAGGGACACATCAGTCTACCATTATAACTACTGCCACTGGTGATAATGGTACAGGGGTCTGACATGTATTATAGGATAATCATGTAAAATTACATGATTACATGCAAGATTACAGAATTACCCATGACAGTTTCTTTACAAACTGGCTTTGACTATATGAATACTTACATATTATATAAGTAGCTATTTAGGAGTAAGTTTTTGAAAGTACTCATTCTTGTGAATCATCATTATTTAACGTGTTACCGTGATGAAGAAGAAAACAGACAGGAAAAATAATTATGAAAACTTGTATTCAGGTGTGGTGGCAAAATCAGTAATCCAAACTGCTGGATTACAGGAAGCTGAGGCAAAAGAATTCAGTGTTCAAGGCACTAGGAAATCTAGTGAGACTCTGTCTTAAGGCTAAAATTTAAAAAGGCCGGGGACAGTAGCAGAGTGCTTTCAGCAAGATCCTTGGCTTCAATCTCCAGTGCTACACATATAAATTGGTACTCCTTTTTAAACATGAGATTCAAGAACCACTGAAGCTTCTGTCCATGGTTAATGGGAAGCATGGCACCAGATGAAGTTAATGTTTCATCTACAATTCTTCACAGTCATTTATTAGTTCAAAAAATTTTTCTTCAACAATAACTTACCCTGCCTTGCAAGTGCAGGGTCATGAGTTCGATTCAGGCACAAAAACAAAACAAAACCAAACAATAACTTACTAGCTAATTAAAGGTCTACAAAAATATGTATGCATTTAAAGAAAAAAATGTTTACTGTATTAGAAAAATAAAATTGAGTAATACTATGTCTCAAAAACTGCTAAAATCACTACAATGAAAGATACTGAGTTTGGATATTTAATAAATTCTCTGGTTAAAAGCAAGTCCTGTCAGGAATAATATAGCCCTATATATATATCAACTAAAAAAGACTTCAAGGAATAGATTTCTAATTTATTCCTTTTCTTTTTTCTTTTTGGTACCGGAAATCGGATTCACGACCTAGCACTTGCCAGGCAGGTGCTTATGCTGCTGAGCTAAATCCCTAATTCTAATTTATTCTAATTTTTAGTTTCTTTGCTTTGAAGCAACATTATGAGAACTTTAATTGTAGGTTTTTAAAAGAAATTATAAATTTAGAGTTTTTAAAAAGCAATCACTGTTTTGATCTGTACCATATTTTATGAACACAACCTACATCAGAAGAGAGACTTCAAATTCTCTCCCACTGGGAATCATGGCACATGCCTATAACTTCAGCTACTGGCAGGAGAATCACAAGGTCAATATCAACCTGGGCAACTCTGAGTCTGTCTCAAAATAAAATTTAAAGGGACAGGAAGGGGATGTAATGCAGTGACAGAACACATGCCTGGCATGCATGAGGCCCTTGGTTTAATCCCTAGTACCCGCCCCCACACACGACAAAAACAAAACAAAAAAATAAATCCTTACCCAGATACTTTAAATTTTAATAGATCATAATTTTAAAAATTCAATTTAAAGACTTCCCAGATAAAACATTAAGTTTATTTATACTATTTATTTTGAGTAATAAAGAGTAATATTTTGAGTTAAAATTTACAAATCAATTAGAATATCAGTATTTTCCAAGGTAATTAATTTTACCGATTTACTGTGTAATATTTGTGTGAGTACACTGTTATAAACAAGAAAATCCAAGCGCGTGGTAACTTTCAATATGACCCGCTATTTTTCCCGCTCCCTCTTCCTCAGCAGTTCTCCTTGTCTATGTTGTTTCTCCATGCTCCCACGCTAAAGCAATCTTCCCACAATGATAAAAGCAACCTCGTGCACCCTTTTGTCATATGGATCATTAAAAACCTTCGGTTAACATAACTGACTTTTATCCCATTAAGCCTGATTTTTTTTAGATGATAACAAATTTCAAAGTTTAAACTTACTCCATGTCACTTAAAAATAGGTATTTTTTTTTTGTCTTTTTCCTTTTTTATCGATACCAGGGATCGAACTCACGACTGCCTGCTTACAAGGCAGACACTTATGCCGCTGAGCTAAATCCCCAGCCCAAAATAGGTATTCTTGGACAGAACGTAAATGTCTAGTAATACACCTAATGCTAAGGCTTAAATTTAGCTCCAGGACTTGAAATATACATGTCATTTGCTGAGGAGATTAGAAAATAAACGTATAATATTTTAAGGTGTTAGAGGTTATGAAGCATTAGAGTTAATGGGATAAATTTACCTTTTATAGTTTTTTCTTTTTTCTTTTCTTTTTTTTTTTAATTTTTGTCTTTTTTCTTTTTATCAGTACCGGGGATCGAACTCACGACTGCCTGCTTGCAAGACAGGCACTTATGCCACTGAGCTAAAATCCTTAGCCCCTAGTTTTTTATTTTCAAGTTTAGATTTTAATGTCTGAAAGTGTTAATTTTTAATTTTTAGGTCTATACAAATAGTTTTTAAAGTAAATTGTTTTAAAATTTCTACATTGGAGCCAGAGGTGGTGGTATATGCCTGCAATCTCAGCATTTGGGAGACTGAGGCAGGACTGCCATGAGTGTAAGGCCAGCCTAAACTATATAGTGAGACCTTGTCTCAAAAAAAATCGCTACCTGACTTCTCTGTCTTCTTCAGACCATCCAACTATGTATTTATAAAAACTCCTTTTATTTCCCTAACCCAATTTTTTTTTAATTTTAAAGAGAAAAAAACCAAACCAAACAAAATAGAATAAAGCTCATGAAACAGAACCATGAAAGTGATACAGGACTTGACTTCAAAACAAAATAGGAAATTAACATTGTTACTACAATGTCCTGTTTTCTCAGAACAATGTCCGTACTATCAGACATAACAAAACAGAATAAAACCAATCAAAATGAAAGAGTGAAAGCGTTAAAGGACCTCAAAACAAGATAATAGGAAATCAACAGTAGCCACCACAATACATTCTGTTGTCTTCAAAACAGTTGCCCACACCACCAGACACAGTAAAATCAACCAAAACAAGACAGAATAAAAGCAAACCTAACAAAACTATGCAAACACCACAGGAATTCAAAACAAGACAACAGGAAATCAACAGTGGCCATTACCCTCCCTCTTTAGACATCTCCTCCCCTGTCAGCCTCACAATATCCACCACACATTTTGTATCCCACTACTCCTCAGTCTTTCATGCTAGGAGATAACACAATGTTCACCCTTGAGTCAAAACCATTTCACCCATGAGCACTATCTCAAGTTGCATCTATTTACCTACAAGGGCCTCAAGATTATCCTTCTTTATAGCTGAGTAGCTTTCCATTGTATGAATATATTATCTTTCTTATCCATTCTTTGGTTTCCTGTCACATGGAACGATTCTCTTCTCTGACTCTTGAATTTCCCCTTGAGTTAAATGTGTTTCTTGTATACAGCTTATTGATGGACCTTGTTTCCCAATCCACTCTCTCCTGGGTTTCTTTTCATTGGTGAATTGAGGCCATGCACATGGCTGGTCTCTGCCATGTTATCCTCCTGCTGTTGGCTTCTTACTTGAGTTCTCCTTCATTCAGCTGCCTGTCGTGTTTGGTGATCCCTTTCTGCTGCTATTCTTGGAACCATGGTCATCTTTCTCTCTCTAGAATATCTTTCAGTACTCTCTTAGGGTTGATTTGGTGGTAATGAATTCCTTCAGTTGTTCTTTATCACAGAAGCATCCTATCCCTCCAACAATTTTGAAAGACAGTTCTGCAGGGAACATCAATCCAGGTTGGAAGCTGTTTTCTTTCAGGACTTAAAACACTTCACTCCAAACTCTTCTTGACTCAATGGTTTGTGCCCGCTGTGATTCTAATAGGCTTTCCTTTATAGGTGATTTATGTGTTCTCTCCAACAGCTCCCAGTACTGTTCTTGTGCTGAATTTCTGGGATCCTGACCATTATATGTTTGGGTGTAGCTTTAGCTTGGCTATGGTAAATTGGAGTTTTATATGCCTCACATATCTGTATGCTAGGTCCCTTTCCCATGTAGGGAAGCTTCCGCTATTCTGTAAACAGTCCCTTCAAGTCATTTGTGT